CAAAAACAAAAAAAACAAATGTCATTTATTGAACTCTGACAGTCGCGATCTATTTTAATCGTTAAAGACTAGCGCATATATATCATGATGATATTTTTTTTTCTAATATTTTGATAGAAGCTATTGTCATTTTTCGATATTTTTCCAATACAATCGATATAATAACGTGAATGAATGAAAAAATGAATGTAAACAAAAAAAAAAAAAAATTTCAAAATTCAAACAGAATGCTGCCCATTATTTATATATGTATGATATGCATGATTCAATATTATTTTTTTTTTTTTTGTTTCGCATCATAAATTCAGATATAAAAATTGTTATTATGTTGGAGAAACCATTATCGTACCAGATGACACACTAACTATAATCGGTTTTTTTGTGTGTGTGTGTGTGTGCCGTTCATTTTTTTATTTATTTGAATTTCAATTACAAATTGTTGTTGTAAAATTGGTGTTCAATTGAACAAATTTATGTCCAGTTGAGAAAAAAAAATATGTCAAAATAAATTAGTTTTAGTGCTTGCAGGCAAAATGAAATAACTGGATGGTCAAAAATTTTATTTATTTTTTTTTCTACTTTTGTTTGTGAAATTTTTTTTTTCTTAAAACAACATGGTGTTTCATTTAAAGATGAAAAAACAAAATACCCAATTATTTGTAATTGGACTTTTGGCAATTGTAGTTAACATTTTAGCTTCTTTTTTTTTGTTACACAAAGTGAAAACTGGAAAAAAATTCCATTCGTATATATCAATAACAAAATCATCATCAAAATCAGAGCAAAAAAAAAAAAAAAAAAAAAAACCACCATCATCAGTGAGCATTTAATTGTCATCACAATTATTTCCACCCAAAAACTCTTCAGTAAAGTGTAAGCAAAAAAAAAAAAAAAACAATCCACATGTCCAAGTTTTAATTTTCTACTATAGTAACAAACAAGAATTAATTCAAAAGCAAATTCTTTCACTATCAGAATAGTAGCGAATTGTACAGATGATTATTGTGATTGTTTTTTCACTAGAATTGGTTAGAATTCTTATAATATGGTTTTCGATGATCGCCTGATTTAACTCTTTTCATTTTCATTCATTCATTATCTGCCAATTGGGCGTCTTGTCTTGACTTGAATTGACTTGAATCCAAATGAAATCTTTTGAACAATCTTCCAGCGTAAAAGTATCATCAGCAAGTTCAAAAATCCGGAACAAAAAAGTTGAAAAATTCACCATTACCAATACCAGAATTATTTGATCACATATGTGTAAGTCTTATTGAAATACGATCTATACAAGAAAAAAAACCAATACCATACCATGCCACAATGATAGGATATGAAACCTGAGCCGGAAAAAATTACCCACTGGACAAACCAAAAACCGAACCGAACCGAAAACCAAATTTTTTTTTTTTTTGAACGTTTCAGATTTTCAACAAGATTTGTGAATGAACATGATAAAAAAGAAAAGAAAATTCAATTTACCAGTTTACAGTATATTTTGACACTGAAAATGGAAATTTTTTATATTGAACAAAAAAATAAATGCAAAATGATGGTCATCATAACCATAATCATCATAATCATCATCATCATCATCATTATAATCATCACCATATTGGCCATTCTTTTCACATATATATAATATAATGGGCAACATTGATGCATTTTTTTTCTCTGATGCCTGTATATATATAAATAAAAATGACCAATCACACACATTATCACTGCTTTATTATGGCATTTTGGGTTCGTTTTTCTTTGTTGGTAGTCTTCTTTTTTTTTTTCCATTGGATTTCATGATTACAACTAAACAAAATGGAGAAAATTTTGACCATGTTAGTAAGAGAAGCAAAAAAATTGCAGACTTTGAATGTGTCCATTATATACACACACACACACATATACAACATGTATGGATAAAGATTTCTGTCTTTTTTTTTTGCTGGTTCCTTATTTCAAAGTCCAAATATAAATACACTATACAATTGGAAAGGAAAAAAAAATACGAAAAAAGCCATTATACTCAATGTGTGTGTGTGTGTGTTGTGTACTGGTGTTGGCGTGTTTATGGCGGTATATATTACATATATGTAGATTGAAAGCCATTATAACCATATATTCTGGTTTCTAACTGCAAAAAAAAAGAAAACAAAATTCTTGGCCAGCGTTTCAGCCTTTTTTCCTTTTTTTTCTGTTTCTTTCTCTCACTTGCTGGTGATCGTCTTGTTTGATCTCATCAATGTTTGTGTGTGTGTGCATGTATGTATCATGCTATCATCAGCAATTTTTATTCCATTTTATTTTATTTTATTTTTAATATGGTTACAGCATTTTTACCGTTATTATTATAATGAAAAAAAAAAAATAAATTCTATCACATAAGAAAATGTGGTTTTCATATATGTATGTATATTCTATGGATTGGATTCAATTCTCAATGGATACACGTATATTGTATATAATAAAAATAAATATTTTCAGAGGCATTTTTTTTCCTGAATGTATCCAATTGTGAATGAATGAATGAATGAATAAACGTAAAAATAACCAAAAAAAAGATCCACAAGGCGTCATTATTGCCACCGATTACAAATACAAGTAGTGACACACTATAGTGAAAAAAAAACCAATGATCAGGAACGAAAACGATAAATGAAGATGAAGAAAAAAAAATTCTGTATACTTTTTGGGGCAAAAAAAAATGAAAATAAAATAAAATCTTTTAACCACCAACCATCACGAAAACGAATAAAGAATCTTATCAAACATTTTTTCGATGATGTTTTTTTTCTTTCATTCTTTTATTCTTGCTCTGAATGTCATTGAACGAATGATAATAATAATAATAATAATAATAATAATGACAGCTGAAGATACAAATAATAAACATGAAAAATGAAATTATCATCATTATTTTATTGGAATTTAGAAAATTGATCCACATGATGATGATGATGAAATCGATTTTATTTTCGTTTATATTAACTGATTTTTTTCAGTTGTTTTTGTTGTTTTTGTTGTTGTTGTAAAGAATTTTTTATTTTATTTTTCAATTTCTTAATACATTCTCAATCATTCGATATCAATCGACAACAACAACAAAACACTTCATCACATACTTAGTCATCAATTTGAACAGGTTTAATTGTGCTTAGCTGAGCTAATTTTTTACTCACTTTTTTTCCATTCACTCTTGCTCTTCAGATTCTTTGGAACCGTGTTTTTTCTCTCCCTTTCTCTTATTCTCTATTTTCGTTTAGAATCACTTGACAAGTCTCATTAATTTCAAGAGTCGAAAACTATTCGAATAGCAAAACAGGAACAAAAAAAGATGCTAAAAGTGTAATGAGATAAAGGAATTGTGATCAAGATAAATTGTGTGCAGTGAGAGAAACAAAAAAAAAAAATACCGACCAATACAATGTGAACAATGATTATAATCAATGGATTTTTTTATCTCCACGTTTACTTATTTGGTTAATTTTTTTCTTTTCTCTCACACTTCAATTCAACATTTATCGACAACAAAGATGGTGAAGAGTAATGACAATGATGAGATTATCCAAAAAAAAAAATAGAATAATCGACTTTAAAGCTAAAATTCGATTAAGAATGTTGGACGTTGAGTTTTTTTTCTGTCCATCATCTACTCAATTATTCTGTTCATCATCAAATCTATTATCACAATGGAAAAAAAGAACCATTATCCAATATGATGAGTAAATGAAAATTTCCAAAACAAAACAAAAAAATTTTCGATTTGAATTCTGGACATTTTTTTTATTCTGTAAATATCTATCAATAGTGATGTGGAATCTTCTTCTATACACGGTCTTGAATTTTATCGGCTACGAAACAGAATAAAAACCTGTGATGAAAAACAATAGACTAGCTTTTTTAACATATGAAACAAAAACAAAAATTACCCATAGAAATGTTGTTCATTTTGAATTCAGAACGCAGTATATAGATTTTTGTTGCCCAAAAATATATTTGCATCGATAAATCGACATAGGTCTTTTTTTTGGCTAAATTGATCCAACAAATTGTTATTTGCAAATGAAATATCAATAATAAAAAAATACCCGATGATTCAAACAAACGGGAATGGCAAGCAACAAAAACAAAAAAGACAAAGACAAAGACCTAATTAATCTAATCTAATTAATAGAAAACATACATAACAGTCAGTTCATTCGCAAACTCTTTTTACATTTACTTTTATTTTTTTGTCATCAACATCATCGTTGTCGTCTATAAGAATTGTGAATTGAAACGATTGTCGTTGAAGCTACAGCTAGTCACTATAGAATGAAGTTGTGTGTGTGTGTGTGTGTGTTCAAATGTGTTTTAGTTAATTAATTTTTTTCTTTTGCTTTTTTTCCTGTATACGTGTGTGTGTATGTGTGTTAAGGATGTCATTTGTCATTGGGTTCCGTTTATTTTACTTTTTTTTTCTCTCCATTTTTCCTGTTTGGATTGTGGTTTTTTTTCTGGTGTAGTTTTTTTTTCTCATTGTGTGGTTACAAAGAAAAAAAATGATATCAAAAGTTGTTCTCATTATCGACATACAGACACACACACACACAAGTTGAATTCTTAGGGTAAGAAATTATTCCATGTGTGTGTGTGTGTGTGTGTGTACAAATGTGTCTGCGAGGAAAAGTTGTCCCAAAGAAAAAAAAACATCACGATTGAAAGAAAATGTGAACTTTTTTTTACATATAAATGGCAAACATTCATTTTTGTCGCTTCGTTTCATTCAGAAATACGTCACTAAGATGAAACATATTCACGAATAATTATCACAGGTTTTTTTTCTATCAATGAACATCTTAATAATGATAAACGTGAAAGCACCTGGAGTCGTTTAATGAAATATACTTATCACTATGTTTTAGGGTTAAAATCTAATTATAACTTCAAACAATTTTTTTTTTTCATTCATCCAGAAATAGAAATTTTTTTTTTCGTCATTAATATTTTAAATTATTATTTACCTGCTTGTAGATGTAATTCACGACTAGTGACAACACCAAAACCATTGGGCATATGTAATAAACATCGATAATATGCATCATGTATTTCAGGTATGAATGAATCCAATTCAAATGGTGATAATGCTAATGTACCATCCATTGGATTGGTTGAACGTAATTGTGCTAAATCGATTGCTTTTTGATATTGTAATGATGACGATGATGATGATGATGATGATGATTGTTGTGGTTGTTGATGATAACCAACTTGCCATTCAAATGATATATTATTTGAATATTGATGATAGGCTAGTTCAAGCATCGATTGTAGATCATGTTCATATCCATTATCCATCATTATTAATGACGATGATGATGATGATGATGGCCGAGGCAACAAATGGCTCATATGATGATTATTGGAATTTGTTGTTATTATTGGTTGTAAATAATCTTTACAATGAATAATTGTTCCATAAAGATTTGAGAATCGATGGACGGATGACCGTAATGAGGATTGAATAAAATGTAACGATGACTGTGAACTTGATGATGATGATGATGATGACGTAGACAAGCTCAAAGAATGGCCAGAATTTTTATCGAATATATAGCCATTTACTATTATTGATGTTGAGTGTAAAAAATAAATGTTAAACAAAATGGTCAAATAAAACCACAACAATTTTGATGATAACTTTATCATCATCAATGATGTTGTTGATGGTGGCCACAATAATAATAAACATTTATTTTTGACATTATTGAATTGATGAGCCATTTTTTTACGATTCAATTCACTGTAGTAAAGAAACAAAAAAAAACGATTTAAACAAAAGAATCGGTGATTAGTATTTCTCTTTCTCTCTATTTTTCTCAATCAAACATAATGAACATTTGCTTTCAAATGTTTTTCATGTGTGTGTATAACTCTACTAATTGTTTCACTATATACTATTGTTGACAAAATGATTACATTTACTCGAAACAAAACAAAACAAAAAAAAAAACTTTGAAAATCTAAATTAAAAAAATTGAGATAAAAACATAGTTGATGCGGTTGACTTGTCAAATCGACCAAAAAAAAAAAGAGCAAACAATTATATGTATCTAAAATAATCATTGTCCATAGTGATGATGATCATGATCATGATCATCATCATCAACTTGATGGCCATCTTCATTTTTTTTGCTGTTATTCTGGTCAGCATGGCTATCTTTGCCTACAAACATTAAACAGGAAAAAAAATCAATGAACCAAGTGGGACCAAGCGTTCCAGACAGAAAAAGTATTTTTCTATTAGAATACAGATAAAAGTCCATCTTTTTGTTTTTTTTTTTTTTTTTTTTGGTTACATTTACCATTATCATGATCATTCGGGTAATGATGTTTGAAAATAGAGAGACCAAATGATTGGTCAAGTTTTTTTTTTTTATTTCGGAGCATTCAAAATACATTTCGATCGACTAAATATCGAGTATTTGGACAATTTTCTCCGCCTTTTTTCAAAGAAAAAAAAAAAAATGGACCTCAAAAGTAAAAGAGATCATCACTTTTGAATTAAAAGTTTTTTTCGTTTTTGTGAACAAAACAAAATCAAAAAAAAAAATCAAACAATGAACTGGAAACAAGTAACTTGAATTTTTAGAATCCGGAACCGGATCGTTTTATTGTTTCATGGAAGAACCAAAAAAAAAAACTATCCAAAAAGATTAATGGTTAAGATACACACACAGTAAATGACATATCTCAATAGAGACAATGTGTGTGTGTGTGTGTGTGTGTGTGTATTTCCAGCCAAACGGTGACAAGAATCAAGAAAAAAAAAAAAACAAGACAAATTCATGTCCAACAACAATTGTGATGATGATTATAGATGGAAAATTTTTTTTTTTTTTTTAGACAAAAAGTTCTTCATCATCATCACAACTTATAGTAGTTACTTATTATTATTATTATTATTATATGTCCAGCGTTCCAAAAATAAAAATTTGGAACACGTTATTATCTTTACCAAATGATGATGAACTTTATCGGTCATTTTTTTTATTGTTCAAAAAAAAAAAAAAATTCCATTCATATCCAAGACAATGAACAACAACTGTATAGAGGGAGTATCCGTATACGTAAGAACCATCAAAGAGAGAGAGAGAGAGAGAGAGAGAGAGAGAGAGAAAGAGAAATTCGGGTCATATAGCCAGAACAAAAACAACAACAACAACAACAAAACAGAAAAGGAACAAAAAAAAAGTTCAGAATCAATTCGGTTTGTTTTTCTTTTTGTCACTATGTAGTTCAATATGTCGATCATCATTGTATTCATTGTCGTTCATCATTATCATCATCTTTTTTTCCCCTGTGTTAACAGGATAGGGGTTAACCAAGAAAAAAAAATTGAATGAAAAGTTCTACTTTCATTTGCACAAATTATTATTATCATCATCATCATCATCATCGATGAATACAATAAACCAGAAAAGTGTATATATTTTTTTCCAGTGTTTAACCAAATATATTACACCGACAGAAGAAGAAGAAGAAAAAATGATGATCCTATTATATATTTAGCAGTACCGTTTTTTTTTATTTTGTGGCATTTTCTGTCTTTTCTTTTGCACATTCATTTTTTTTGCCATTATATTACAATATATACCAGACACACACACACACACAATTCTAATGGAATGCTCAATGAACAAATGGATCCATTTCATTGGTTACATATATATGGATCATAATCATCGTCAAGTCAACTCATATAATGATGATGAACTTGGTTTTACATTGAAAAACAACAACAACAACAACAGCAACAACAACTTGGTATTCATATATTGGAAAAGTTCTATTCATTGATGATATGTGGAATATACAAGCCAATAAGCCAATTTTAGTATGAAAAAAAACAACATAATAAAGAGAAATTATGGCTACAAAGAAAAATACATATTTTCTCTCTCTCTCTCTCTCTCATCAATAAGATTAATAATTAATCAATAGATTGTTGGCCTTAATCATCATCAACAACAACAACAACAACAACAACAGACTAATATGGTTAAATTATTGGAAAAAATCTCAATTTCAGTAGTTTGGCAGTTTTTTTTTTTTGATGAGTAAATGTGAAATAAAACTTTTTTTGTTGTTGTTGTACACTGGTCTTCTTTCTACATGGTCAACATATATAGGTTTTTTAACTTTTTATCCACAACAACAACAACAACAAAAATGGAAAAACTTTTTCATGGCAAATTGAATAAGAAAACAAAAAAAAAGTTTCCGTATAGCATAGCATCCTCGTGAGAAATTCAAGATAAAAAGATCTTGTTAAAAGATCGAAAATGAAAAGTTTTTCTAGCATCCAGAAAAAAAAGTTTATTCAATCATCATCATCATCATCATTATCATCTGTATACAATGGTACAATGGATATTGTCGTCTTGAAATGAATTGTTTCATAATTGTTGTCAGCCTGTATTCAAATTAATCATCATTTTCAAGAGAGAGAGAGAGAGAGAGAAAAAAAAATTGAAAATTTCAACAAATTTAACAACAAACAACAACTACCAATGACCAATGAACACTGTGTTGAATAAATTAAACGAACCAGTGACAAAAAATAATAATAATCATTATCATTATTAAATTATTAATTATTGAATAGAAAGATAAATTCAGTACCGTAATTCATGGTCATCAAAAAAAAAAAAAAAAAAAATAATGTAATGTATCCGTATATAGAATGCATATATACACAGATGTTTGATTTTTTTTTCTTGTCCTTTCATTCCCTACCTTCTTCTTTTCACCTACTACAATATTCATATGCATATTGTCCGTTCCATATGTCAATTTGAATATATTTGAAATTCATATATGAATATTTGCATATTTGATCAATTATTCATCATCATCATCATCATTTCTCATTACTGATTTTGGTCAATTTTTATTATTATTATTATTATTTGATTTCTATTTATTTTCGACCAACAACATTCATGTCCAGAAAAAAAAAATAATTTATGTAAATGGTCAACCGGAATGAATAAACGTTTTTTTTATTTGTTGTTTTCTTCGCCATTTTGATTGTGGAAAAAACAAACAAACAAACAAACAGAAAACAACTCGTACATCTTTATTCATGCACAACTTTTTTTTTTGATTTGATTTTGTTTTTTCATTTCAAATTAAATTCATCATATTCAAATTGCCAGTATGTGTATGTATAATCATCAGAATTCAGTACAATAATCAGCAAAAAATAATGATTTCATCGAATTTGAAGCAAAAAAAAATTTGAAAATTCTTTGAAAATATTGAAATTTTTTTTGTTTGTTTGAATATCTGGTTTTGATGTACTTGAATGATGTAAAAACACGTCAACAACAACAACAACAAAAATCCAAACAATAACAACAATCAATAATGATGATCTAACGGAATGGAACGAAAAAAAAAATTGGACAAACAATTTGGATATGCTGTGGTTTTGTTTGAATATTTTCAATGATTATGATTATGGTGGCGGTGGTGATGGTAGTGACATGTGCATATTTTTGTTCACAATTTTATTCTGAACCTTCAAAAAAAAATAATAAAAAATCATCATATCCAATGCATAAACATGATGCCGGATCTGTTGTTGACATGTATTTGCATTCGATGTGTGTGTGTGTGTGTTTCTTAGAAAAATTTTTTCATTTTTTCAAAACAAAATTTTTTTTTTCATACTCAAATTATAATCAATTTAAATTTTAATGATGATGATGATGATGATATCTTGTCGATTTCATTCGATTTCATATTACACCTGTATTTCAAGAATATGGATAAATTGAGACATTTACGGTTGTCATTTCTTTGCATTTGATTTTGATCCCGAAATCATCATTATCATTGCTTTTATTACAGTTATTTTATTATTGTTAAAGTCAACAGAATATCCACAGAAAAAACAGAAAAAATGCAAACAAACAAACAAAAAAAAGAATGAGAAAAGAATCGCTAAAATGGCAAGAAAAAAAAGCTCAAAGAGATTGATACTTAACACACACAAAAAAAACGAAGCAAAGCAAAACCCCGAAACGATCATACACAATGCACACACACACACACAGGAAATCTTGAATATACCCATCATTATAAAAAGCAAGAGGGAGAGAGAATATCCTAAACATCAATGATGATGATGATGATGATGTATATGAATGAAACCAAGTGCAAAAAAAAAGGAAAATAAAAAGCTTAATATTGTTGACATTTACGTCGTCTTTTTTTTTCACAAACGACATCATCATCATCATCATCATACATGTATAGACGAAGAAAAAAGTGTTGAGAATGGAAAAAAAAGAATTGAAAACAAAGATAATGCGGCAAATAAAACGAAAAAAAAGCAAACAGAATCAAATTGGTCTGATGTGTGTGTGTGTGAAATGTTAGTTTTTTTTCAACTTATAGCAACAGAATGCTATGGATTGACATAAATGGAACGAAAAATTTACACATTGTCAAATCCGATGGCTGTGTGAATGGAATTTTTTTTTTTTTTTCAAAAAACTAAATTACACACAGCCAAAGGAGATGATAGTTTTTGTTTTGAATCAAAATAAATTTGTTACTGCGGAAAAAAAAAAACTGGAATCGAAGGATTGAAAATTTGTGATTGTTATAGCTCAGAAAGAG